GGAGTACACATTTTCATCAAACACTACCTCTGGCAGGGAAAAGCTTCTGAGGGTAAATATATTCCCATTTCTCTGCTGAGCTGCAGCCCAGGCCATCCCCTCAGCCCGTCCCAGCAGCCTCCAGAGCTCTTGCTTTGGCACAAGACATCACTGGACCTGGAGGCCACTTCTTTGGGGGCCTTCCTTTTCCATGCATGCCGAGCCAAACTGGTGGGAATGCTGCTAAGGAAATCCTGAAACAGAAGACCACGATGGGAATTTAACGTAGCTCGAGGCAATCCTGCAGTGGAAGAGCAGATGCTGCCCAAGACAGCTCATCCACCCCAGTGCCTGACCTGCTGTGAATTACTGATACCTAGAGATATTTGTGTGGCAAAACTAAGGCCACTAATTAGAAAACGCAATTAGAACATTGCTTTATGAACACACAAAATAAAAATCATGAGAAACAGAAGTAAAAAGCCTTGAATTTTCTAAGTTACTCTCCTTTCTAATTCGCAGGAGAAGCGAGCTGTCCTGCCTCAGAAAAGCTATGTAGAATTGTTTGTGGTGGTGGATAACAAGAGGGTAATTATTTCATCCAACTCTAAATACATTTTATTATTTGGTTAGTTTTCTTTCTCTGACATTCTTGTGGTATTTTACAGTTTTTGCTGAAGAATTCTGATCCTGCTGCGGTGCAAAAGGAAACAGTCGAGCTGATTAATTACGTTGATGGGGTAGGTCAGATAAATTGCCTGGGTTGAGTAATTTCTACCTTATCGTAGTTTTCAAAAGTACAGCTAATGCAGTTCAAAAACTGTATTTGGAAGTTATACAACAATCTGTAACAGGCACATCATGAATCTCTGCACAAGTCTTGTGGAATTGCAAGCGAGGGGAGAGATACTAGATGTTTTCAAATCACTTCTGTGGTCTGACTGCTTCACTCTCCATATGTTTTGCATTTCTAGGAAGAGTATTTCTCATGTTTGTAGTGGTTTTTTAAGAAAACTCTCAGCACTGTGAACAATTCCATAAGCTTTCTGATCACCTCTTCCCAGTTCCTCCTCGAGACAATTAGCCAAGGAAACGAATGAACATAGTCTTTCCAACTTCTCTAACTGAAATATATGTTTAGGTATCTTCAAAAAGTAGATTTTCTTCAGTCATATTTAGCTTTATATTCTAAATAATTTTATTTCCTCTTTAATTTATAAATATTTTATATTTTAATTTATAAATACAAATACACTTTTAGTTTCAAAGAAACTAAACTTCTGTCTTGGTCACTAAGTTCAGCTTACTGTTTACTCAGTAATAGTGAAGTCATCTTTCAGAATTCCATCAAACCAGACCGATGGACATTAATTATCATTACATTTTTTTTTTCAGATGTATAGACCATTAAACATCCAGATCGTTTTGGTTGGATTAGAGATTTGGACAGATGCAAACCACATCTCTGTAATGGATGGTTCAGCTGGGGATGTCCTGGGCAGATTTGTTTCTTGGAGGCAGAAAGATCTTCTTAAGCGATCAAGAAACGATGTCAGTCATCTCATAATGTAAGTTTTCATTCAGTGGGAAAACTGGCCATGCTGCCAGTGTTAATGTACAGTATCTAATTATAATGTAAATATATTATAATGAATAGGCACTGACATTATTTTCAAGCTGTTATTGCGATTTTCATTATTAAGTACAGCGAAATCCTGATGTGGTGATAAATTTCTTCTTGACTTCAGGAAGACCAAATCTTGCCTTGCAGAATTTCTTTCAAGCTCATCCCTGTCTTTTAGTAGAAACCACGAACTTTCAACCCATCTCTCAGCACCCCCCCTTCAAACTGCTTTTCTTGCAGAGGGAGAAGCTCTTTCAAGGGATCCATTGGAATGGCTTTTGTGGGTACTGTCTGCTCACAAGTGCAGGGAGGGTCAATCAGCACTGTAAGTACATCGTTTTGTGGGTGATGGAAGAAATTAGCCCTTGACCAAGTCGCCCTGGTCTTGGAGACTAGACTTGCAGTTGTATGGTTTCTTTCATGGGGTTTATTTATGTAAAGATTCGTGTATATTTTACAACTCCTTTCAAGTGCTTCCCTATTTCTCTCCTTGTCGAATTCCAGCCCACTTGGCAGATTTACTCCTCAAATAATTCTTTTGTTCTCCTTTTGTAATTCATCTAACTCAATGCTGCATTAAAAAGCTCATCCTCATAGGATTAAAGTTCATAACCAAAGCGGTTTTGGGACGGGCATGAAGCACAAAATAATGTATGGGGGTTTTTACTCTTTAAATAAATACTGAACATAATGCACCATATTCCCAAGCGTCTGGAATTCCCCACAGGAAGGCTGTAAACTTGCAAAAATTTCAAGTGTGGGAAAATTAGTAAGAAACTGTTTTTTATCTCCACCCTTGGGGCAGAACCAGAGGTTCCTGTTCTTAAAGTCGGGATGCCACAACACCGTGGATAATCTCAGAAGCAGCTTTGGGTCTTGAACAGTACATTTGTCATTGAAGGCTCCACTGAAATCAGTCTCATGAGGGATTAACTGTGTTAGAACACAATAAATAGACTAATTTCAGCTGGGAGGAACCTACAGTGATCATCTAGTCCAGCTGCCAACTCTTTATTATTTGGAACATGATCCTCATGGAAGCAACAGAAGGAGTGGCAGAATCTGGCCCTGCCTGAAAATAAAAGTGACAAACTGTCCGTTCCTGCTGCTTCTTCCTTGTGATATAGTTTAATATTCTGCCTTCATGGGTCTCCAAGATCTTGGTGGTGGGAATGAAACACGAGGCACAAACAGCGTTTCCTTGATGTCACCTTTTTTTTCCCTTTTTTTTTTTTTTGCCACTGATTCTCTCTGTTAGCTGAACCACAACAATATGTTGCGTCACGCCACGGTGGTTGCACATGAGTTGGGGCACAATCTGGGCATGAAACACGACGATAAGAGGTGTCCTGCATCCTACATAATGCACAGCACAGACAAGTAAGATTGCCAGTTTGTTTGGTTGCAAGAACTTCTTTTGTTTGCACGACTGTGCCGTGAAACTCCTCTGGGTCTTGAAGAGCTTCTGTGAATGGGGAGCTGTTTGAAAAATTTAGGCACGGAGCTGGAGTCACTGAATTAGGGTTTCACATAATTTTAATTTTTTTTGAAATGTTTACTTGTTTTCTGACCCAATCATTCTTTATTTGTGGTATCTTTAAAAACCTAATTTGATTTTATATATATATATATATTTTTTTTTTTTAATGATAGTGTGTTTCTGGTTTGGTATTTAGCCTGCTGAGAATGCTTTAAATATACTCACTGGGTTCCTGCAAACATGCAACAAATATTTAACAGTTAATTTAAACAAAACATTATGGCTTATGTTTCTTTCAGTTCGTTTGTTCTTTGGCTTCCCCTTAAGACCAAAAGATCATATTATTTATTTATCCACATTTGTCAGGGTAATTGAACACTGGACAAAACTACTGTAAGGAGATGAATTCCTGGGTTTTTAGGGACTCTAAGGTGAATGTCTTTCTAATCAAACATTTTTAGACTCAGTACACACAAGGAAATTTTAAGGCCTGTTTTATACAGGACGCCAGAACAGATAATCTCATTTCTGAAAGTACCTGTATTTATATTATAATAGTATTTTTTAACTTCTATTTGCACTTCAATGCAAAATAAAGCAGAAATTAACTATCTCATTATCCCCTAGCATTACGAAATGCAACATTTATTATAGAGTGACAATAATTTCAGAGCTTGAGTTGTACATTTTCCTGTAAGCAAAATACATACAATAATAAAATATTATGTTTTCCAGTGGATCCAGGAATTTCAGCACCTGCAGTGCTGATGATTTTGAGACCCTTATTCTTAATGGAGGAGGAAACTGCCTTAGAAATCCTCCCAAGACAAGTAATGTGTACAGAGAACCTGTCTGTGGTAATAATGTGGTTGACAACAACGAAGAATGTGACTGTGGCAAACCACAGGTAATGGGGGAAATTCAACTGGAGACTTGTTGTATATTGGATTATTCTATATTCTATTATTCTATATAATACTGGCCTTTTGATATACATGATTGCATTGATACATGAGGAGTTTTCCTTGTAATTTTCCTTTTCTTGGCAAGCTTAAAATCAGACTTTGATTTTCATGTGGACTCATTTAAAAGCTATTGGTCTTCACAGACAATTTAGCATAGACATTTCTGTTACATGGCAGAGACTGCTTTATCTGTAGAGCACATGCAGGTTTCTTAACTGGAACCCTTAAACTTTGCCCACACTGAATCACTTTTGTGAGTTGCTGTTCCTGTTGGAGCACAAGGCTGTCAGAACATGGTAGAGATAGGGATTTAAAGCCAGGCTTGCACTTGTACTGCTGATGTGCTTTCCTAGCCATATAAGGAGATAAAAACAGTGTCCCCTTGTCCGTGGCTGCTCCTCAGGAATGCTCCAACCCCTGCTGTGATGCTGCAACCTGCAAACTCACGCCTGGATCCCAGTGCGCTCAAGGACTGTGCTGCAAAAATTGCAAGGTGGGCAATGCCTTATTGAGCGAAATTGATGCTATTCACTAGATTTTTTTAATGTTTGAAAAGAGCTGATCTAGTCCTCTGACCGATTTTCACGCTACCAAACCACGTTCACCAGTAGAGGGCATTTGAAATCTGAGAAAGGAGAGGAATTTGTCTCCCTTGACATCACTAAAGGTTGCCACTGATTGTTTCGCACTGGGACTTCTGGTGTCGCAAACTGACAGCGCCTTTCCTCTCTGGTTCCAGTTTAAAGTGGCAGGAGCAGAGTGCAGAGCAAAAAGGGATTTCTGTGACCTCCCTGAGTACTGCAGTGGGAGCAGTGCCTACTGCCCAGAGGACGTTTACATCATGAATGGCCACCCGTGCAGCAACAACAAGGCCTATTGCTACTATGGAGTGTGCCAGAGTTTTGATTCACAGTGTGAGGCTATATACGGGAAAGGTGTGTTTATTATTTCATGTAAATCCACTGGTGTTCTCCTTTCCCAGTTTTTCTTTCTTGTGTTTTTTCAGACAGCTTACAAAGATTTACTATTTTTTTTTTGTACAGGGGCACGAAAAGCACCTGATATATGCTTCGAGAAAGCAAATATTAAAGGAGATCGGTTTGGAAACTGTGGGATGAAAGGTGGAGTGTACAAGAAATGCCCTGTCCAGTAAGTCACCAGCAAACAAAACTAACCCTAAAATGTTCAATGTAAAAAACGTATGCTGTTACAAACCCTTAGAAGTGTGAGGTTTAAAGAATATTTCCTTGAAATGCAAGCTAAAAAGTTTGACTGGATGGTGTATTTTCACTGATACTTGGGTTTTTTTCTGTTCACCTTGTCTCTGAGTGTCCTTCCTTCAATGCAGGCACAGTCTGTGTGGCAAACTCCAGTGCACATCTGTCAGTCTCCACAACCTTCCTGCCTGGAGTGTTGTCAATAATGCATCCGGGGTTTTGTGCTGGTCTTCTGACTTTGACTTAGGATCAGATATCCCTGACCCTGCTCAAGTTCACGATGGGACAGCCTGTGGAGAAAACAAGGTAAGAGGCATCACAGCAGCATGATGGAATATATCCCAGCGAGTGGAAAGTTCTTAAATTCCAAAGGCATTCCACAGCTCTCTTGTTTGTGTGCCATAATACAATGAAAAAGCTGCTTTTTTTGAAATCTACAGAAACAATTAATTAGCTCTTCAAAAACTGGGATTCTACAAATCAGTTGGATGCCACATTATCAGTTATTCAAATTATTCCATCAAACTGCTGATGCCCAGAAAAGAGCAGATAAAAAACTGTTTAGACAAAGTTTTATGTCTAAAGCAGTCAAGGTATTTATTGATTAACGGCCGGGCAGCCTGCCAGCTCGTGCTGGGAAAACAGGCTCCAAGTTGGTAAGGTTACAGTGAGTTTTTTATACAGGTTTGGTAATGATTACAACATAATCACATACATA